GGGGGGGGGGGGGGGGGGGGGGGGGGGAGCGCGAAAGAGAAACTCAAATAGGACAATATCTGCTAACAGTGAGCTTGGGCCGTTACAAATAGTATTGGAGTCAGACACTGGACAATGTGCCAGTAAGGAGGCTGAGCCCTATCAGGGGTAGATGCTGGGCCCTGAAGGTGGATTGGGGGGTCCCACACCGCCGGTGAGGAGGCTGAGCCCTAAAAGGGGTGGACATGAGGTGGTGTGTCAGCAAGAACGCTAGGCCCCGAAGGGGGGTGGATTGGAGGTCCCACATCAATTGGAGAAGGAAACGAGTGTCAACGACAACGCTTGCACCTAATTGTGAGATCCCACATTGGTTGAGAAAGAGAATGAAACATTCTTTAGAAGGGTGTGGAAACTTTTCCCCAGCAGAGGCTTTTTAAGAACCTTGAAGGGAAGCCCGAAGGGAAAATCCAGAGAGAACAATATTCACTAGCGGTGGGCTTAGACCGTTACAGGAACGATGACCCCAAATTCAAGGCAGAACATAAGAAACTAATTTGCACCTCATAGGTCTTTCTATAGTAATAAGAAAAGTACTTTAATAATAAAATATGGTTAAACGTCACTAAACATGAATTATAGGACATTTTGTATAGTTCTCAAAATGAACAATGCTATTATCTAAGATATTGAGTGGAACATACCGAGACCCCCAGTGACAAAAATCTGAGGATACAGAGAAGAAATTTTTGGGATCATCCACATATTTGGCAAGCAGGCGTCCATACATGGCTTCACTTTCTGCGGAGACGGCACCAACTAAAATCGGTACAACTTTCACTGAATGCCTGCATCATTGCATCATTACTTACAAGAGTAGGTCTCCAGAATGTAATATAATGCTCGTTAAATCAAATGAAAATTACCCCTCAAATACTTTGGCAAGATATGGCAAGTGCATTTCCATGCTATGTTCAGCTTCATCAACACGCATATCCATCAATTCAAATTTTCCAGTTGCTTTTAGCTCCTCGATAACTGCCAGAGTGAACGATACATAGAGAAATTACTAAAAGAACGTTCACGAATAAATCCGGCAATGGATGCAAGTTCATGCACAATAATCTAACAAGAAAACATACAAGAAACCGAGCCACAATTGGGAAAAATGAATAATTCTCAAAGAAAAAGAAATGGAAATCAGAATACCTTCCAAATCAATAGGAAGGTCGCCCACTGGGGTCTGGTAAATAGTGGCTGTCGAAAGGGCACATTTTGGTGTATAATAGTGGTGAGATGGACCAAGAAGAAAGATCCTAGAACTGCAAACAACAGCATCTAGTATATTAACAATAAGCTGGTAGTAGCTTGCTAATATAATGAACAATTCAACAGTTTTTTTCGGAGACGATTTAGAAGATTAAGGAGGAATTTGAAGTAACTAAGTTTTGCTAAAGGAACAGTTTTGGCTTTCAAAAATGTTTTCTAGATATGTTTTCACTGAATTTTAGTCTAAAAGAGTTCAGATACAAGCTCTAAAACTTAAAGGTATAAACAATTTTGTCGAGCAAGTAGCGATTGAAAGGGAGATTAACCCACATGTTTGTTGGATCAATGTTACCGAACGCATATGCAGCAGCACGTCCTGAATATGAATAACCGGCATGCCTGCAGTTCCACATCAAACCAAATGCATCAAAATTATTCCATTTTTAATCATTTTAGAATTTTTTTTTGAAGCAACTTACGGAGCAATTACACCACGTACATCCGGGGATTTAGACAGGCCCGATGCCCTCAACCATCCATCAAGCTCCTCCGCAAGTTTCTTAGCTAGAAGGAGACAAAAAAAGAGAGAAAATCCAGTACACCAGAATTCATTATCCATTTGACTTCCACAACGAACTACAAAATTTAACAAAAACAAACAGCAACGTCCTCCCTATCTCCTGGAAGCTCACACATGCATGAGCAATGAAACATTCTTCCAATTTTTTAGTGTTGTATATTTAAGCTTGCATAGAAAAACGTTCACCTCTAAATCATAACCAAAAGTATGTGAGGATATTTTGGATCAAATGGGGAGAAGACTTTATCCCCTCATTTGTTGACCAAAAGTTTAGACTCAACACATTATGTCAACCCAGGTCGGAGAGGAAAATGAAAACATTTCTTACATGGGTGTGGAAATCTCTCCCAACTAGAGACGTTTTACAATCGTGTAGACGTGTTTTAAAAAATTGTAAACTAACGGCTACACGTAACCGGGCTAGCGGTGGGTTTGGGCTGTTACAATTACCAATAAAACCCGACTTTTCAAACATAGCATAAGCACAGTGTGATGTACGCATAATCCATTAACTTCTACAAAGTGCCTTGCACAGCTGGGAAACCCCAAAAATCTCTCTAGCGTTTGAATTGAATCAAAATGCAACACTTTCAATTCCCCCCTTCTGCATTCAGAAACAAGGCCAAAATCGAAAATTCCACTATCTTCCAGAACCAGAAACTTTAGAATGATCAGCAGAGAGAGAAGACAGTATCGCAAGCTACTTTTCTCCAAAGCCAAAATGAAAATCAATCGAAACATTTACAGAGAAAGCAAATTGAAGAATTGAAAAGAACCCCACCAAAACGTGCATGGATGTGAGGAGAGAGTAAAAGAAGGCGGCTTACAATTGTCGGTGTACCAAGAACCGGCATGAGACGCTCTTCTGATTTTCTCCATAACAGCAACTAAGATCGGATTGAATCAAAACCAAAAGGGTCAGAGAATCAAACAGAAACAAGAGTGAGATGAGAAAGTAATCCCTGGGTCTTCTCCCACTGGATTATCTTGAGAATCGGTAAGATGAGATCCGAAAGTGAATCAAATAGAATAATGAAAAGAAAAAAAAAATGGAGTGGGAGAAGGAAGATTAGAGAAGAACTAAGAACTGTTTACAAACTATTCTGCTTTCTGAGCTTTCACGCAACTCCCCCATTTTTTAATTTCCCGATTCCGCCGCACCGATAATTACGACGAGTTTTGTGCTCCTTGCTCCTCTTTGGGCTTACATGGGCCGAAGTCCGGAGGCCCATTTCACCCCCAAATCTCTTTATTTACGTCAAGTTTTCTGCTCTTTGCACCTGTTTGGGCTTTCATGGGCCGAAATTTATTGATCCAGCCACCGCATACACGTGGCAGTTCTTCATCGCTTTAATTATTCGATTATTGTCTTATTATTTTGTCTCCCAGCAAGTAATTCGCTAATTAATTTTTTTTAAAAAAAGAGAAAATCATCAATTTTCTTCAGACCTTCTCTCTGTCCCACCTCCTTTACAACAGAAGCCTTCCTCCATTTCAATGGCTTCTCCGGTCCCAACAACATTCCCTGCAAAACCCCACCGATTAAGATCAAATATTAATTAAAAAAATCAGAAAATCCAGCCACGACAATACCCAAATTAGTAACAGACGTCTTAGGGAAATTAAAGCTACGAGAGCTCGGGCTTAAATTGAAGCAACAATCATTCGAAATCATTTTGATTTTAGAAATGTAATGTACAGATTTTACGCTGAAAACCAATCAATCGATATTTGTAATTTTACAGATCATCGGCCTTGGACACGACCGAAAGCCGGCTGGGGCGTGGCCGGAAATTGGCTCGCCGTCTCAGCTGGTGTGAAGAAGGTCGTATCAGAGCAGTCAACGCTCGCTTCACCCAGTCTCCCTCAACGCCGCCGATTCTTACGAGCGAGTTCTTCATCGCAGACCTCCGCATGTTTAACCCGCTCGATGAATACGTCTGATGGTGTCCGCCATTGCCTGAATTTCTATGCAGACTGCACCGGAAGGAACCAGGGTGAGTCGTCGGCGAACAAGTGCACGTCTTTTTCGGTAGAGAAACCGGCGAGTTCCGGTTGGAGAGTGTGATGGACCGACTTGGAGAGCCGGACCGGTGATCAATTGAAAATCGAACAGAGCGAGACAGGGGACTGGAAGAAATGTTGACTCGAGTAGGTGAAGCGTTTCGCTCGTGGTTGTGGAAAAAGGATGAGGATGTGGAAGAGAAGCCGAAGCTCTTTGATGCGGCGAATCGGCCGGCGGCGGGAAGTGGCCGGAGAACAGGTCCGCTTGTTTCCTTCTTCATTGGGGATTATGTTTGGCGAAACGAAAGGACGGCGGATTTCAGTAAACGGAGTTCGTGTCGGCGGTGGAATTTATAGGTCCGGGGGTGGGTAGACCGTAATTATGCGGTAAAATTTTGGGCATGGTTGATATATTGTTGGCCGTACGATTGCGATTACCCATCTAACGGCTAGGACGACGTAGGCAGTAATGGATATTATTAAATAATAAGAGATCAAAATTTTTAATATTGTAATTAAATAATGAAATATGTTGATTATTATCCGCAAAAGAGATAAGAAAAGGTGACGGGGAGATTAAAGTAAGTTTGATTTTAATATAATTAACTAACCCAATGAATATCTTACAAGTCGAAGAGCAAGATGTCCGTTTTAACCCCAATTCCCGGGATAAGATGGACTGTTTAAAGGATAAAAACGTCTTTTCAAGTTTTGTTCGAGAAAAAAAAATAAAATAAAAGATTTTGGAAAGTCCAAGATGATGGAGGAAAATAATTGGAAATTCGAATCGGAATGACACCTGTCGTGTGGCAATGCGTAGTTTAAGTTACACGTGGCTGACGATGATTGGTGATTGCACGAGGGGCCTTCCGCTTTCGTGTTGGGCAAATTGGATCCTGTGGAGATCGGTGCATTGAATTATGGTTGAGGTTAATGATCAAACGCGGGCACATGGACTTGCTGTGTGGTCGGCCGTAGAGGAAACATCCAGAAAAGTTTTGAAAACACAGCATCAATACTCGGTTTGACTCGTGATCTCAAAATTTATTTATTTTTTTCCATAAATTTTAAAAGATGGATGGTTTTGGTTTTATAACTTTAGATTTAAATTTAAATTTAAATTTTGATAATTTTTTTTTTTTAATTTGAACATACGATAAATTAATTATTAAACAAAAATCAATTCAATATAATTATTTCTTATTATGGTAAATCTAAAAGCCCACCAATCTAGAAGAAAAAGCTCAAGCCCAACAATAGACGAAAAAGCCCAAGCCCACCAATCTCTAAGCGTGGCCGAAAAGGCCCGAGCCCATTCCTTCCCTCACATTGGATATTTATATTTATAGTTTTTATAATTTTAGTTTAATAAGTGGTTGATTTTATTTAAGCATTATCATCTATTGATAAAATGTTTTTGACGTAATTTTTTAATTACTTCGTGATAAAAAAGCGCTAATTTTACTCTCTTTTTTATTTATTTATTTATTTTAGAAATTCTATTTTTTTTTATTTTTTATATTTAGCAAAATAAATTATGATGAGGCGAACAAATATGATTTAGATCGAAGGAATAATACTTTTTTTTTAATATATGATTGTTCATTCATATTTATTTACATTAAAATATATAAAATTTTAGTCTCACTAATAATAAATTTTTATTAATTTGTTTAAAAAAATTAAAAAGATAATTTTGAAGTAAAATCCTTCATTTTTTTAATTGTAAAAAGTAATCATAGGCCTCTCTCTCCCTCTGAATCTAATAGGCAACGACACTAAGAGACAGGGCAGAGGGCATAGTAGTAATTACGATATTTAGGGCTTTCCTTATAAACATCTCAAAGCTTCTTCGATTCCCTTTGTTGCCTCTAGGGTTTTTCCATTGCGCCAGACTCAGCTTAGGCGTCTATCGGATCTTCGAAACCCTAATCATGGCGGAACAGGTATGGATTTTGTCCGTCTCCCGGCGTTTCTTTCCATTCAATCAATGTCTGATTGGCACCTGCATTTATGAAATTATGTTCTGTTTGTAACGCAGACGGAGAAGGCTTTTCTGAAGCAGCCCAAGGTGTTTCTTAGGTAAGAAATCTACTGGAAATTGTATGCTTTCTCTTGGTAAAGCAGGTTTAAACATTGTACTTTATGCCGTCCAATATATCACTCTATCTACTTCGAAACTTTCGTTTTCAGCTCGAAGAAATCTGGAAAAGGAAAGAGACCAGGAAAAGGAGGAAATCGGTTCTGGAAGAGTGTCGGTTTGGGATTCAAAACTCCGAGAGAGGCAATTGAAGGTCTTAAACAACAACTTGATTTTCATTTACTATTTCCCCGTACCATTGCCTTCCTGCATCTATTTAGATCCAAATATTGCACTCTCCTTATTTGTAATCTTGAGTGAATGTTATCTGCCCAATCTCGTAATTCTAGATCCTGCATTTACATTATTCAGTGAGTCATTTGAAACAATGTGGATCTTCCATTTGCATCATCTGATCTGGCCATTGGGGAAGTTCGATTTCCAATCATTCTATGACTATACTAATCAACATATTCATTGTTAGACGTTTGATTCTCAGCGTCCTCTCATCTTAGTTGTACTGAAGATTTAAGAGTAATTCTGCTGCAGGAACATACATCGATAAGAAGTGCCCATTCACTGGCACTGTTTCTATCAGGGGGCGTATACTTGCTGGGACTTGCCACAGTGCCAAGATGGTGAGAACCATCATTGTTAGACGTAATTATCTTCACTATGTGAAGAAATATCAAAGGTTAGAATTAAATACCCAAAATTTCATTAGTTATCTTTTATCCTTTCTATGAATGAGTTTGCTGACACGGGTCGTTCATTTTTAGGTACGAAAAGAGACACTCTAACATTCCAGCACACATAGCTCCTTGCTTTAGGGTAAAGGAGGGAGACCATGTCATCATTGGCCAGTGCAGGTTCATACATAACTTTCTACGCCTCTGCTGTATACTGTGCCTTTGTTTTTAGTAATTTTCTTAATGGATGGGTATCTTTGCAGGCCGTTGTCAAAGACCGTGAGGTTTAATGTATTGAAAGTCATTCCTGCTGGATCATCCACAGCTGGTAAGAAGGCCTTCACAGGAGTTTAAAGCCCAGGATTTTCAGGTCCCGTATTTGTTAATGTTAAAGAGATGATATGTTAGCATGAGTTTTTCTTTTTTTCAGCTAGATGATCTTTTCACTTCATTTGTTGACCGAATATTTCATTATTGTGATACTACTACTGCAATTTTGATTCCCTAAGTTTTGCTCAGTACCTTCCTGTTTAACTTCTTAATTTAATAGCATAACCTTCAATGCCTTTTTTTTTTTTTTTTATAATTTATGCCACTTCCACTCCATTATGCAATTGTTTATATCTATTATTTGACTAAGATCATAGACGTTTATTTAATGATGTAAGCAAAGGAAATTTAAGGGGAACTAATTGAATTATGAACTATTGCACGTAACTGGAACTTCAAATGATTGGAAGTTGCTTAGCAATTCCAAGCGTTGAAAGTGGAACTCAAACCTAATAAATTTCACATGCAAAATATCAACATAGTTGATATTTTGGATGAGGAGTGAGAAAAACCAGATGGGTTTGTTGACATTATTGGAATATATGGCTTCGATTATGTCGCTGTGTTCTTGGTTTGATGCCAATTCCATCCATTTATTTAACTCAACCTGTTTGATTTTATGCCTCGTTGACCTCGATGACTTTGTATTTTATTATTATCGATATGATCCGACCGCCAACCCTTTGATTTCATCAACTTCTCCCTCCCTCCCTGCTCTCTCTCTCTCTCTCTCTCTCTTCGACTTAAACGTACAAAGAAAATAATTTGGTTTAGTTTATTATGGGCTTAAATCCATTTGGGATATGTATGTTAATTATCTTGGCATCGATAGTATAATAAATTGATGATGTGACTTGGAATATGTGCTTAGAGCCTCCTAACTCATCCTAAACCTTAAATAAAAGTTCAATCCTTTCCATTCTTGAAAGTCAACTTTATCCTGAATCCCAACCCGTTATACCTCTGGTTGCGGTTTTGCCATCTAATCTGGTTTCCTTTCAAACTTCTCTTTCACCTATTCTCCTTTATTTGATTTGCGGGGCATTCAATGCATTTGAGGTGCGATCATAAAAAGTCAAATTAATTTAGATTAATTATTAGTATAAGTAATAATTCTATAACTTTAGATTCTGCCAAAGTTTTTTTAGTCATCTTATCTTTGAGGTAACTCTCATTTATATATTTATTTATTTAAATGTCATACCAATGTTTTAGAGATTTAATTTTAAAGAAACCGCTTAAAATTTGAAAATGTCCAATGAACACCTCAAACCTCTTTTATTTTAATGTTAAAAAATTATTTATATTTTAAAACTTAATTTATGAATTTATTAAACATAAGATATAGAGAACTATATAATATAATATATTTTAAAAGTTTAGAATACCAAATAAAAATAATTAAATCCTTAATTTAATAAAATTATTATTATTTGACAAAAAAGATGGAAGAAAAAGTCAAATGATGTAGAGGTTTTGTATATATAATGAGGAGGGAATAATGTATCGAAGCCTCAAAAACCAATTCCCAAACATCGTCTCCTCAAAAACTTGGAGTGATCATGTACAAAGTAGCCAGCGCATCGGAGTACCTAGCCATTACCGGCGTCGGAATCTCCGACATCAAACTCGCCAAGAAGGCATGGGTTCTCCCCGGTCAATCCTGCACCATATTCGACATCTCTCCCGTCAACTACACCTTCGAAGTCCAAGCCATGAGCGCCGAGAAGCTCCCCTTCATCCTCCCCGCCGTCTTCACCATCGGTCCTCGCTCCGACGACATCGAATCCCTTCTCAAATACGCCAAGCTCATCTCCCCTCACGACAAGCTCTCCAACCATGTCAAGGAGCTCGTCCAAGGCGTCATCGAGGGAGAGACACGTGTCCTTGCCGCCTCCATGACCATGGAGGAGATTTTCAAAGGCACCAAAGAGTTCAAACAAGAGGTCTTTGGGAAGGTGCAATTGGAGCTCGATCAATTCGGGCTTTTGATTTACAATGCTAATGTCAAACAATTGGTGGACGTTCGTGGGCACGAGTATTTCTCGTATTTGGGGCAGAAGACGCAGCAGGAGGCTGCCAATCAGGCCAAGATCGATGTGGCGGAGGCCAGGATGAAGGGGGAAATCGGCGCGAAATCCAGGGAGGGACAGACCCTTCAGAATGCGGCGAAGATCGACGCGGAGACTAAGATCATTTCGACCCAGAGGCAGGGGCAGGGGAAGAAGGAGGAGATTAAAGTCAGGGCAGAGGTTAAGGTGTTTGAGAACGAGAGGGAGGCGGAAGTGGCGGAGGCCAATGCCGAGCTCGCCACGAAGAAGGCGGCCTGGACCAGAGCCGCCCAAGTTGCGGAAGTGGAGGCCGCCAAAGCGGTGGCGCTCAGAGAAGCAGAGCTGCAGAAGGAGGTGGAGAGGATGAATGCACTGACCATGATTGAGAAATTGAAGGCGGAATTTCTAAGTAAAGCCAGCGTTGAGTATGAAACAAAGGTCAATTTCATTCAATTTCTTGTTTCAATTGGGATATCTTCCATTAAATTTCTCCAAATTCATCACAAATTGGATATAAAATTAAAAGGTTCAAGAGGCGAACTGGGATTTGTACAACAAGCAAAAGAAAGCGGAGGCGGTTCTGTTCGAGAAGGAGAGGGAAGCGGAAGCGCAGAAAGCGCTAGCCGACGCGGCGTTTTACGCTCGACAACAGGCCGCCGACGGAGAGCTCTACGCGAAAAGGAAAGAGGCAGAGGGACTGATGGCGCTGGCGGAGGCTCAAGCCTTGTACCTCCGCTCACTTCTCGAGGCATTGGGTGGCAATTACGGCGCTCTCAGAGACTACCTAATGATCAACGGAGGCCTCTTCCAACAAATTGCCAAAATCAATGCCGATGGCATCAAAGGGCTTAACCCGAAAATTAGCGTCTGGACAAATGGGAGCGGTGCACAAGGTCCGGAAGGCAGCGTTGGAGCTGGGAATATGGCGATGAATGAGGTGGCGGGAGTTTACAAAATGCTGCCGCCGCTACTTCAGACGGTTCATGAGCAGACTGGAATGATTCCTCCGCCGTGGATGGGAAGCTTGGGCGAGTCTTCTCGGAACTGAGGCATGGGTTACTTGTTTTGGTGTATCAATTCAAAAAATGTGTCGATTCCAAAGAATAAATGGGTGTAAGCAATTAATAAGCTTTTTTTTATTTTGGGTGGTTTTCAATTTCTTTGGAGTAAATAATGTTATCTATTTTGGGTGTTTTCCAATTTCTTTGGAGTAAACAATGTTGTCTTTTTTCTTGTTTTGTTTTGTGGATTTTCATTGTACTTTTGGTTGTTTCTGTATTTTTAATGTTAGTTTTTGAACCATTTTTTAAAAATTATGAATTTTCAACCAAAATATTATATTTAACATAAATTGCAACAAGATTGAAACTTAACTAGAATTACCTTCAATCTCACTTTGGTCAACTACACCTTCAAAGTTGAAGCCATGAGAGCCGAGAAGCTCCCCACCATCTTCACCATCGACCCCTGCTCTGAAGACATGGATAGCCTCCTCAAGAATGCCAAGTTCTCTATTGAGGACGAGACCCGAGTGATTTAGGCTTCCATGACCACGGAAGGCATTTTCGAAGGTACCAAAGAGTTTAAGCAAGATGTTTTGGAAAGATTCAGATAGAACTTGATCAATTTGGGATTGTGGTTTATAACAGTTGATAGACGTGACAGGGCATGAATACTTCTCGTATTTGGGGTAGAAGTCGCCGAGGCCGAGATGAAAGGGTCAATTGGGGCCAAATCTAGCTAAGGGAAGACGCTCAAAATGCGGCTAAAATCGACATAGGTTTAATGGGTTTTTCCTTGAAATTTGGAAAATAATACTCAACATTCATGGTGCATCCAAACACGACATAGGTTTTAGCTATCTAAAATTCATAGGTTTTAACTATCTAGTTTTTATACCCTTATAAAAAATGTTTCATTTCCCTCTCCCATCAATGTAGGATCTGACAATCCACCTCTTTTGGAGTCCATCGTTCTTGCTAGTACTCGTTCATCTCTCTAATCAATGTGAGATCTCACAATCCACCTTCCTTCGAGGCCCTGCATCCTCACTGACACACCGCCTAGTGTCCACCCCCTTCGCAGTTTAGTGTTTTCACCGACACACCACTCAGTGTCTAGCTCTGATATCATTTATAACAACCTAAGCCCACTACTAGAGGACATTGTCATTTTTGAGCTTTTCCTTTCGAACTTCCCCTGAAGGTTTTCAAAACGCGTCTACTAGATAGAAATTTTCATACCCTTATATATAATGTTTCGTTCCCCTCTCCAACATATGAGATTTATTTTAGCACTAGAATCAACCAATGTTTAAAACAGATTTCAAAAATTTGCCTATAATCAATACATATCCAAAAAAACGTATTTATATTGTGTAAGAATTGAATTAAGTACCGGGTGTTCATACTTTTCAAGCACGTGTAACAGAACTTTCTTAAGATCCCCAGTTCGGAATGTTTGCTGTGGCTTCATTAATCATTTTCACAAGTGTCACCTGAAAACACATTAATGAAATATGTTCTCAGTTATCACTACAATTTCTGACATGGATAAACAACATTCCACATCATCTACATGCAACAGATATAGGACACGTACCACACTTTCGGGGACGCCAGGTGGCGGCATAGGAAGGTTTCTAGGGGGGACGACATTATCATATGATCTCTTGTCAAACCTCCATTCTCCAATCTTCCCGGGAGTCGGTTGTCCCTGTATTCCAGAGATATAGGAAGTAGCCACAGACAGAAGAAGGTAAGCCATGCTGTATAATAGATGAGATAGACACATAATCAACATGTGTTTGTTACCTTCATATTGAAATCACATCCATAAGTATAATGAATTATGAACTTCTTGCCCACTTCTGTATCCCACGGTGGCTGCAAAGTGCCAACATCCAATAAGTTAATTAATAGAGAAAATCAAAACGAACAGTCAAATCTGTTAGGAATGACTCTTTACAATGATATGATATTGTCTATTTTGAACATAAGATCTCATGGCTTTGCTTTTGGTGTCCCAAAAGGCCTCATACCAATAGAGGTGTATTCCTTACTTATAAACCTATGATCATCTCCTTAATTAATTAGCCAATATGGGACTCCCGCCCAACCATCCTCAACAAAATCCTCTTATTTTCCATGTTCACACCCTATTATGCCTATGGAATTAGATAAAATTTCATGTGGTTGGGTAAAAAGAAAACATGAGATAATAAGATTTTCACAAATACTTCAAATGGTTGGTTGATTATGTTTCGCTGAACAAAGATATCAAACAGCAATGAGAATGGATACAAATTGTCAGGAATCACGACTCACCACAATGATATTATATTGTCCACTTTGAGCATAAGCTCTTATGGCTTTGCTTTGGGCTTCCCCAAAAGGCCTCATACCAATGGAGATAGTATTCCTCACTTATAAATCCGTAATCTTCCACTAAATTAACCCATGCTATGTTGGGTATAAACCAAAATGATAAAAAGAAGCAGAGATTCACTTAGAACCTGAAGCATGAAGTCCTTATATAAGATGTTACCAACATCATGCAGAGCGGAAGCAACAGCATAAGCATACATTTCAAGAACCCAACCAAACGCATTATCTGTCTCAGGATCCTTCTTCATTGCCAAGGAAATATTCATCCAAGTGGGAGCAATTTTCTTGAGAGACTCCTACCAAAATTTATTCGAAAGAGAAAAGGGTGAGAAGAATCCTAATGTTATCATTTAGAAGCATGGTGTCGCATACCCTTTGAACAATAACAGGTGAATTCCCAATTGGATCAATGTTGGTAATCGGACCCTTGTTCTCTGGGAAGAATTTCCTTAGTTGACTCTCATACTTCTTCGGCTCGATGTAAAAGAATGGAAATGCAGCCCCAAGCCCATCCTTTGACAAATTTGGTATAGGCTTCACAATGATATGATCTGGTTCTGACATGAGTATATAACTGCAAAAAATGACCTCAAAAGTAAAACATAATTGATCCATCAATCCATTAGAACAGGAAAAAAGAAATAATAAAAAGTTCTTCATACTCTTCCTTGATGTCCGCTTGTTGAAGCCATTGCACAAACGCCCATGGTCTGTTGAGAACTATGTAGCCCTGTAACATTTTCAAACCACAGAAAGTAATTTCAGCTCCATGAAAATGAAACCCAGTAGAAACGTTGCCCATTTGACATCATTTCATTATCCAAGGAGTTTAGAATCACAGAAATTCAATGCGAGCGTTTGCTGTCCTAAGGGGAATTCTTTCAAACAGGTGCAGTGCATAAACAAAATCATATTTAGCATGACACCTAAATCACAGATAAACACTTCCCCTGAGAAATCCAAGCTTGTAGAGCACCATCATGCAATAAATTTGCAGAACCAGAAAACAAGAAGCAAAAACATAGAAATTAGTAGTAATCAAGCATAGAAATTAGTACCCGATCCATCCCCGCCGGGAGAGGCTGAGCAACAAAGGTGGGAATCTCGTCCATATACTTGTCGGGCTTCCCCGAGTGCAAGATCCTGGTGAAACCACCCATCTCAGAATTAGGTCCGTCTTTGAACTTCTTGAACCAATAGTACATAATCCGACACTGCCAAGTGTTGTACACCGAATCGGAGGCAGTGACGGCCGTATGGAACAGTCGCTTGGAGGAAGGAGTTTTGGATTTAGACATCGGCATCTTAATCACAGGGTCCACAGTAATGGAAGATGAAGATCTTGATGGACCAGGAAGCTCTTGCTTGAGAGGGACATTAGCAGAGATGATGATGTTGTAGGTAATTAGAGCAACAGAGAAGGTTACCAGAACCAAGAAGAACAAATTCCCGCAACCCATTTCAGCGTTCGTCTCCAACTTTCTGGGATTCCGCTCAAACGGATTTGCCCATCTAAATCCCCCTCAAATCGGAGACAGAATGAAGGGAGGAAGCATAAGTTTCAGAAAAAAGTCGTCGCCTCCAGATAGGAGTTATTCAAGAAATTGGCGGACCAAAGTGGAGAGTTGGATTATTTTTCTCTCGATTTTATTATTATTATTATTATTATTATTATTATTCCTTTTGTTTGACTGGATCGATTCTCTTGGGCCTTGACCCAACCAAGGTGTTGGGCTAACACTTGGTTATCATTGGGCCTCCGTGTTCTAAGGCCCCAATCCTATCTAATTGATTAAATCTCTTTTGACTTTTGACTTTTCGTGAGACATATTAGTCAAAGATGTGTTGTCTATGGCCACATGTCGGATGTTCCGGTCATACTTATCTAAGACATGTTGTCCATGACCACATGCTCATTCCAAACCTCTTTTACATGCTTTCGTCTTAAATAGCTCGTTACCATTTCATGTTATGTCAAACGGAGGTGCACGACCATTCACTATAATCATGTTTTCTAAAATATTTCTCACAAATGTGACTTAAGACCTGAACATACATTGACGTTGTCAGCAACATCCGAATTTCTCACATCTGACTTATTTGCTAGGTTTGAACAAGTGTTGTAAAAGTGCGATTGTGACAAAGTGCATGATAGATTATAGACATGTGATCGGATTGGATTGGCGGCTGGTATTCCAACGTCTCGAGTGCTTATATAACCACAATTTTAACGAGGGGGAATAAATAAATAAGTAAAAAGAAGTCAATTTTCCAACATTATTTGACTAAGCAAAGTAAGCGAGGAAATCAAATTTGACCTCAACTTTGAAGCTCACAGTCAGAGCCCAAATAGGGTGAGTCATTAAGTCGAATTCAGACAGCCTCCGTGGATAATTCCGACATTTCCCCAAAAGATCCTACGCGGATTTGACACACACACCGCGGTTTCCACGCTTTTTCCGGCGCCTATAGTAAGCCTCCAAACTATAATATCCCATCCTTATCCACTCACTTTTTTCCTTTTCCTTTTTTGCCCCTTTCCTCCTCATCCATTATATTGGCCACTCACCCACTCCCACAAAAATCATCGGTGTCGGATTCCAAAAATGTTGCCTCATTTTCATCACTCTCCTGCTTTCGCTCGCAAGCTCAAGTCCTCCTTCTGCTGTTTCCATGGCTTCCAACAGGACGACTTCCTCGACTCCCCCTCCAAGTCGCCCACGAAATCCCCATGTTCCTGGTTCAAATCTACCGTCGGCGAATTCAGAGGAATACTTGCCCGGTGCCGCTATCTCCTCGCTCGTATCGCTCGCCGGAGGAAAAGGTACCTCGCCTCCGTCGACTTTACCTACGATTCCTCCAGTTATGCCCTAAATTTTGACGACGATTGCCGTGAAGACGATGAGTTCCCGTTCAGAGATTTTACGGCAAGATTCCCCCCGCCGATCAAGGAGCGTGCTCCCGCGGCGAAATTCGCCGGTTCTGAAGATGGAATCTCGGTTGAATGATTGATTATAGTTCATTTATTATTTTAAGCGGATTTTGGATGTAAATTTCCCCGCCCATAGGAATTTCTCCTTAAAGTTCCATTCACATGGAATTGTAAATACTATATATATATATCCAACTGTTGTTATTATTATGGTAAGTCTCAAGGCTTTAAACATATATCTCTAATTTCACATCCTTATAAATAATACTTAATTACTTTTTTCAATCGATATAAGATCTCACAATTCACTCAACTTGAAGGTACACCTCGTGATTGACCTTGACACCATTCGTAACAACTTAAACCCACAATTAATAAATATTGTCTGCTTTGACCTGTTACGTATTGTCGTTGGTCTCATGATTTTAAAGCGCGTCTACTAAGGACAAATTTCTATACCCTCATAAAGAATACTTAGTTCTCTATCTAACTCTTGTGGGATCTTACAATTCACTCCTCTTTTAGGGACCCAACGTCCTCTTTGGCAAACGTATAATATTTACTAACACCGAATTTATTATGATTTTTACATTTTTAATATAAATGTGTTCATTCTTTAAAATAAATACTTTTAAAAAGATGATAAGATTTTTCTCGTGGGAACATAATATTTGTCAAAAAAAATTTGAAAATACTATTTTGTCTGCTAATGGATATCTCTAACATGAACCATTTTTAAAAAGATTTGAAAAATTAAATATCAAATTTATATAGAATTAAGTCATTGTTTTACTAATTCTTTTCAAATAATCATTTATTTTAAATTATTTTCGAGTAAGAACATAAAGTAAATTTTTTTATTTTCTTTCCCTTTTTTAGAAAAGCAAACATTTTGGTCTAAAAACAAAATGACGTTGTTTTGACAAACTTTAAGTTATCTTTTTTCTTTATTCTTTTACGCACCGAAAGAATAATAATAATAATAATAATAATATCCATTGCATTTTCTTTTCATATTCCAAACTAAAGTTAGCATTTATTTAATTAACTTTATAAATTATGTTATTATTATGATATAATATAGTAATTTTTTTAATATAAATACACGTCACCAAATGAAATAATTTTATTTTCAAAATATGAAATATATATTATTTTTACAAAGTTTACTCAGATTAAGAAATGATGCAAATTAAAGCAGGCATAAAAGAGTCAATGTCGTGGTGACGCCAAAAATGACGTCAATATTCGTTGTCCCTTTTTTTTTTTGTTGAATATAAAACTATAAAATATCCACCCTTCTAAACACTTTTTTTTTTAATTATTATTATTCCTTTTTTCTTTTTCTGCTAAATTAAATCAAATCTAGCTTCAACTTTACTCTAATATTTTTAAAGTCCCAATTCCAATAATTCTCACGAAGTAATTAAAGCGTTTTAAATATTTTTTTTAACTTGTTGAACTATAACGTCTAATCTTTTTTTCTTAAGAAAAAAAAAAACTTCTCTTACTTATAAATTAATTAACAAAAATTTATTATTTTATTTTATCGAGTATTCATTTGACTTTAACCAAATTTTTTAACATAAAAAATTTAATTATTATAAATAATTGAATTTGTCGTAAAATAGTTACAATGATCATAACATGGTATAAAACATATAATTTAATTAAATAAATTAAAATGAGAAATAAGTAAATAAATAACATATAAAGAAAAGTAGGTTAATTTCTTAAAGCGCAAGAAATATGATGATGTGCGGTAGTTATGATTGGACGAGATACCGTTAAAGTCGGTGGCAAGTTTATAATTTAATTAACCAAGGCCTAACTTTTATATATATATATTTGCTCACTTGGATTAGTTGTAATCGAGAGTTTTAAGCTTCTAAATCATCATTAATAAATTTAATATTTTATATATAATAATATTATAATACGTTGAAAATGTAGTCATATAATCTCATCCTATATTATAATAAAGAATTAATTAATTTTTTTTTTGTTTGTTTTATATGTAACTAAAAATTGTTAAATAAGAGAAAAAAAAAACAATAATATTTGTATAGATGGCAAGAGAGTGGTCCCGTGAAGACGGGTTTTAATTTGGATTATTGCATGGATGGTAACACGCAAGCAATAATATTTCCGAATAATAAATATTCGGCCCAGAAACATTATGATATTATTAATAATCTACCATATTACTATATACTTTATATAGTATTTTACATGTTATTTTGTAATGTATTATTTCATTTTATGAATTTCATATAGTTATTAAATGCTTGCAACCAATGAATAAATGTAATATTTAAAGTTTTTAAAAACAAGTATAAATTTCCTCTACATCGCGGCGTACGAAAGGACGGGGAACAAAAAGCTTATCTGCGGCAATCACACCGTCAATCAATAGGGACCACCTAATCAATAGCTGTGGGGTTTATGATACGTGGACCCCACTATGGTTCGATGGGAAGAAAACCCGCACTGAAATCGTAGGATGCGTGGCGAATGCTCATTGGTTCTGTTCAAATGCCTGATGTGCAGAGCTGTCACTCGAGATTTTTGGAGCCTTTCGTCCCTGATTCCATCCGAGAAAGGCGAGTACATTATATTTGATTTGCATCTTTGCTTCTTCTTCAATGGCCGCTGCGATTAAATTTTATCATCTATTTCTCTCTTAATCGCTTGATTTGTTCGAGAATGGCTTCTTCTGCGACTATCGAAGATGAAATCTCGCGATCGGAGGAGATCAGAGCGCCTGATCGGATCGAGGAGGGGAATGATCGTGATCTTGATCTTGATGAAGTTGGAGTTTCGTATTCCTCCTGTGGATGTTTCTTCGGATTCGGATCGAGACTGTCTCGAAGCAGCAGTGTTCGATGCCGATATCTACTGCTTCGGGAGAACGAAGAAGTGAAGCAGAGTTGGATGATGAAGAAGGTGAAGAGATTCAAGGACATTATAAAAGCTATGGCAGGGCGGAAGTGGAGAAGCTTCATTAATGGAATAGTTAACAAGAGACGGAGTGTGAGGTTTCAGTACGATCCGAGGAGTTACGCTCTGAATTTTGACGAAGGGATGGGAGAAGAAGAAGGTGGAGGTGGACGCCATGGATTCCGGCAGCCGTTTGCCTCTCCGATCGGATAGGGACTGGAATGAACACAAGCCAAATGTGATGAGATGCGTGTAGGGTTCGATACTTTCGATCTGTTCTTCATTTCTTCCCAATGTCATACTTTTTGTACATTGCTTTTATTGTTTTTTGAAAAATAATTAAATATTTGATTGCGTTTATTCTCTTCGTTTCTCGAGAAATACATTCAATGTTCAATGAATTTGGTAAATTAATAAATATTTAGAAGGAAAAATGACATTGATTTTAGATTAAAGTAAATGCTAAGTTCTCTTCGAATGCCATAAAAGTTCCCTTGACAATTTCAAAAAATGACACATTGTAACTATTGCCAAGGCTATAATTCATATGATACAAATATTACAGCCTGGCGTGTTAGCTTAGATTACACGTGATCATTCTTAGTTGAATATTAGAATGTTTACCTTTTGAGATACGGACAATTTTACCAGGGTTGCAAAAAATTCTCTACACATGAATGTTAATTATTGAGTAAAAAATGTGAGATCCCACGTTGGAGAGTATCAATGAGAATGTTGAAGCTCGAATGGAGTAGATTGTGAAATCCCACACCGGTCCCTGGTCCCAAAAGGGTAGATTGTGAGATCCCACACCAGTCCCTAGTCCCAAAAGGGTAGATTGTGAGATCCCACACCGATCCCTAGTCCCAAAAGGGTAGATTATGAGATCCCACATCGGTCCCCGGTCACAAAGGGGGCGGATTGTGAGATCCCACACCAGTCCCTGGCCCCAAAGGGGGGTGGATTCCAATCGTTGGCCCTGAAAGGAGTGGATTGTGAGATCCCACACCAGTTGCTGGCCCCGAAGAGGGTGGATTGTGGGATTCCGGTCGTTGGCCCTGAAGAGGGTGGATTGTGAAATCCCACACTGGTCGCTGGGACCTTGGTTGGAGAGAGGAACCAAACATTTTTATAACGTTGTGAAACTCTTTCCCCATAAAAAAACTTGAAAAGAAAAGCACAAAGAAGAATACGGTTAATTTGGGACGGAGAGGGGCTGCAAGATGGAAGGTATCCGAGTACGAACACAAAATCGAGAATCTAAATAACAATATAATATTTAAATACTACATGGTGACAAACTAGTCAATAATTTGCAGTCGAGGAGCACATGGACTGCTCGTACTAAATAAATATAAACCAACATTTTTCATGTGATAAAATTATCCCATTTCATATTTCATTAGCTTAAGCCTTTGAAGCTAATTAGATTTAGTAGGAAGATATGCATTGTAAAAGCTATATTTTTACCATAACTAACTACAACTTGAAATCAAATCAATCTTGAATCTAAGCTTAATCGGTAGTATGACTATAAGGGAAGCAATCATACAAAGCTTATTAAACTATACATCTATTCCTCGCCTAGAAAATTCTTTATCATCTCACTAATTCACATTCCTTTCAGCATATAAATAATGGCCTCACCCCAAAACAGACGATTGTTTTCTCTTTTCTTTCGAGGAGCTATGGATGATTGTTGCCTGTTGCCTCACCTGCATTACTTCTTTTCAAATCAGGTTAGAACAATGGCAGGGGCACAAGTTTTGGAGTAGCATTTCGTTCAGTAGCTATACCTTTTGCGTTTAGTCTTCAAGGTTGTTGAGGTTGAAGGATTTGTGTGCCAATTCCTCTTCCTCTGGTTAATAAACCAGTTGTTTATCTGCTTCAGTTGCAGCCCAGTTTCTTGAACCAACTTTGCTTTATCTTCCTCCTAAAAAGTGGGTTATTTTCAGATTAGGGATCCATTTAAGGACCGTCAAAAAGCAATCCATAAAGGCAAGTAACATATTGCTCATTTAGTGTCTCGAGCATGTGCTTCTTCTGGGAATGCCTTTTGGAATGACTTTTGGAGTGCTTAAAAACGGAAAGGTCATCCTTTCAAATGGTACATATTGAAAGGAAGAAATTCTATAACCAGCATACTCACAGTTGGATATGGCCAATTAGAATGTGATTGCCACCAAGCTTTCAAGACGGACGTGGTGCCACCAGGAAGCTTACCTGCTCTCCTTTTTCGCAAAATTTCCTCCCTGATATCTAAAATTTTCTCTTTGTATCCCTGCTAAAAGCAAAGCTACCATTTTTGTTAGTCTAATCTAAGCTGCCCTATTTTGATTCTATTTTGGTCCCTAAACTCGTGTTTGTTATATTTCAGTTCATAATCTTTCACAATGTCTATTTTGATCCTTCATACTTGTTTCATTTCCGTCTCTAAACATTTTCAAAACAACCATTTTAGTCATTATTATGTTATTTTTCTATCTAATTTCTTCTCTTACCCCATGTTTGTCCTAACCTAAGTGGCTAACAGTTAATACACATCTCATAAACAATGAAGGACCAAAAAAGACATTTTGAAAGTTTAGGGACTAAAATAAAACTACCATCAAAGTTCACGAACTAAAATAAGATTTAAACCAAAGAGAAAGGAACAAAAAAGTGAGAGTGAGCGAGAGAGAGAGAGAGAGAGGCCTCACATTCTTTAGTTCATGCTTCAATTCGTGCCTCACCCTTTCCATAAGGGATCTCTCACTATCTGTTGGGATAAGAGGACCAAATCCCATAGCATCATGACCCTCAAAACTTCCATCAAACAAATTAGCATCGCTATCTGTCTGGTCTTCGTCATCATCAGACATTGTAGCACCAGTACCTTCACCTGGTGAAACACCTAGAACAGGAAAATGCAAAAAATCATTATACCTTTTATTACCAACAATCATTGGATCCAAATAAAAATAAAAATAGTCATTAGGTGTACACAGACGAACTGAATCACAGGTGATCACAGGCACACTAAATTGGATCAAAATCATAGAGAAATTCAGATGCTAACATAAACAATCAAATTGACTTCCATCAATTTCCCTCTAGTCTAATTTATGAGTCATATTGCTTATAGTCTCATAGAATATATTGCAGTGAAGTTTTTCAATTTGCATAATTGAAAGAACTTCTTAGTACTGGTTAAGATGTCTTTACGTATACCTGTAAAACATCTAGATAGAGGCGTCAAAGTACAAGCATTACACAGAAAAAATATTAAATATTACAAAAACTGGAACCCACCGATACCAAATATTGCCTTTTTTGGGCTTTTCCTTTCGAGTTTCTCCTCAAAATTTTTAAGATACATTTGCTACGGAGAGGTCTCCATACTCTTAAAAAAAATACTCCGTTCTCCTCCTCAACTGATAACTGAGGTGGGATATCACATAAATCTTTACAAAAGTAGCTAAATAGACTAGCCAATAAGAGTATTGAATAGACTTTCTCAATTCTTTATTCTCTCTTTCCTGTTTGAAAATACCTGTCAAGCTTTGCAAAGACTGTTCAATTTCCCAGCAGGCGTATACTGCTTCCATGGCATGAACACGAACATGTTGCTGGAGTTGTTCTTTAAAAGAGCAAAGTAATAGAACATAATGCGTCTGCAGCATAGATAGATGAAAAACAGTGAGAAATTAATTTGTCAGCACTAAACATCTGCAATGTACCAGTAGCAACAGATAAATTCCTGCAGCACCTCAAATTATTCATGTCAATTTTGACAGTGCCATGCTACACACATATCTTGCAGGAAATAAATTATATCATGTAAGAACATTGAGAAGCCAAACATGTTCTTGTTTGAGATTTGAAATGGGATCCAGAAGAAGAACACTAAAATGAGTGAATTGCTTCAAGAAACTAGATATAAACATCATGGAACAGTACGGAAGGAAATGCTAGAATTTGACAGTACAAAGTGCTGAAGTTTACTAGAAAATGATGATGGCAGAGCTTGAAATCGGAAGGGGTTACTGATTCGCCCAATCTCAGAGCTTGAAATCACCAGAAGATATTTGGTAATCAATAATTCGAAGGCAGTAATCCACAAATTGGATTCAAAAGGCAAAAGTCGATAACTCAATGAAGCGAAAGAGAAGAGTGGGGGAGCGGCTGATACTCAGACCGCGCTTTTTCCTGGCAAGACGATGCCTCTAGACATACTAAATTCTCCAAGAAGAATGTCCTTCTCGAATGTCCAAAACGTACTGAATCTCCAAAGTGGAAAAAATAAAGAAACGAAAATACGAACAAAGTGCAGACAGAGAATCAATTTCATAAACTTTCTCCAACGCAGAGAACAATACGGCCTCCATCGTCCACTGTATGAAACGATCCATCAAAAAAGAAGAAACGTACCATGAACTGATCAAGCTCTTTTCCATTGCCGGCTATGGGCTGAGAACGGTGACCAAACGACGAGTATTTCGCCGCCACATTCTGAGACCGAGCAAGCTGAGAATCTACTCTCGGCAACTGGTCCACTGGCGTTGCGATCCGGAGGCAGGCGACGTGAGCAGAGAGTAGCTGCTCGTAAAGAGGATGCGCCAGAATTTCCGCCTTAAACCGCGCATTCTGCCAATTCATCACCGCATCTCCACCATACGCACCTTCATTACCATCGCTCTCAACCGCCACATCGTCGCTGTTATTCGCACCCTCCCCACCCCCGCCGCTGCTGTTATTCTTCAAATCATCCGATTCGCGCGACAAAGTGGTAGCGCCAATCATAGCATCGGCAGCATCGGCGACTTCATCTAAAACATCGCTATGATCGCGATGGAGGATCGCGCGGGAGAGCCATTGACCCGACGGGTGAGAGACAGCAGAATTGGCAGCAGTCGTGTGAAGATTAAGGAAGTCGGTGTCAACGTTATCCGCAGCTGTCGCCGTGGTCTCATCAGAGAAGTGAGAATGAGGTGCTTGATTCCGAAGTAGCGCACTATTCAGCCAATTCGGAGTGCTCTGAAGCGGATGTTCAGGCTTAGAACCATCGTCGGCCTGAGAGTGGTCAGTCAGTTGATCAGATAAAATCGAGCGCAGCGTGTTAGCAGAAAGCGGCCGTTCCGGTTGAGACTGGTTCTCATAATGAAGAGGAAGGTCCTGAGAGAGTTGGTTGCGGAAAGCCATAAATACCACCGCCGGTAAAGAAGCAGATTCCGTAACTTCCAAGTAGTAAAAAATTATACAGCCATAGTGGGGGGAAGCAGGAGACAGAGAAAGATGAAGAGATATACTGTACAAACGTGCCCTTAAGAACGGAGAAGGAGAGGTAAAGCGGTTTTCAGACGATGAAAACAGCCCGGTAAACTGCTTATTGTGAGAAGGCAGTTTCGTTCCACCTTGCTTTGTAAGGGCGGAGATTGGTAGGAATCCTCTTATCTCTGCCACTGCCACTGCCACGTAACATCCGCATCACCTAAAAATTTGCCCACATAAACCTTACAATTTTTTTTACTTAATTCATTATATTTATTTATTATTTGTTTTATTGAACATAATTCATAAATTATTATTTAAATAAGTAATCATAAATGATTGTAAGAAATAAGAGGAAATTAATTATTGAGCTGTTAGGTAAAAGTAAGTGAAGGGTGTCGGCTTAGTTTAGTTTTAATACAAAAATGTTAGAATTTTATTGGTTGGATTTAAAGTGTTTTAAAATTGTCAACGATTGGGTTCAAACTCTGATATCATAAAACAAAAGGTACTCCCCCATGAAACAAAGGACTAATCTCTTTGTCCAATGCTCGCCCTTTTTCCCGGTTCATCACCTCGTTGTCTTTAACGTAAAGTTATGAGGTGAGTGATAGTCAGCTCAAGTCTACCGTTAATAGATATTATCATATGCTAGGGAGAGATTCAAAACCCTCAAATTCTGGGCCCACGTTGGTTAAAGAGAGGATGTGGAAACCCCTGTCTAGAAGACACAATAGGTGCTAGCGGTAGACTTTAGTCATTTCAAAGGTATTAGAGCTAGACACCAATAGGTGTGCCAGCAAAGACGCTGGGACCCTGAGGGGGTGGATTGTGAGATCTCACATCAATTGGAGAAGGGAACGAATCATTCTTTATAAGAGTGTGAAAATCTCTCCTTAACATATGCGTTTTAAGAAACTTGAGGAGAAGCTCGAAGGATAAGTCCAAAGAGGACAATATCTAGTAGCAGTGGGTTTGAACGGTTACATTCTCACACCCTTATAAGGAATCATTGCTTGAGAGCGTCCTTGCTGGCACACTACACAGTGCTTAGCTCTGATACCAACTATAATAGGTGAATGTTATCGCTAGCAGATATTATCCCTTTTACATATCGTTGTTAGACTCACGATTTCCTTCATCTCTATAAAAATTGCAGAGTATTTCGTTCTCCTCTTCAACCCATCTAAGATCTTATAAGTAACTTGGAATGGGTCATTATCAAACTTATCTTAGTTCCTAAATTAAATATTTTTGGAAAGTGAAATTGTAAGTTTCGTAATTATGGTATTATCAATATCTATAAGTTATTATTAAAATTAGAATAAGGAAATATGAAATATTGTGATTTATTATTATTATTATTATTATTTTGGTATTGTGGGATGTGGAGTCAATAGTGGACTACCGGCCAACCCACCCAATCATCTACCACTACGGATTTTCATTGAATTTCAATTATTTGCCTCTTTTGTTTTCTTTCTTTATTAGGATAAAAAATTAAAAAAAAAAAATAATAATTTAATTTTCTATAATTTGTGTTTTTAAATTTCAAGTCTACATTTATTTAGGTCAATAATCAATTAATCACAAAATTAAAAGTGGGGTTATAATTTTGTTTTTTTTTAAATAATAATAAATTAATCAAATTAAGGGTTTTTTTTTTTTTTTTCTCCTTTCATTTTCAAAACTTAGGTGTAAAGAAAAGAAGTGGGTTGTGCATTCTACTTTTCAAATATCAACAAGAATAGACGTATTTTTCAAATATGATTTGTCATTTTCATGTTATTATTAAAAAATTTATATTTTTAATTATATAATTAATTGGTAATTTGGCTCGAGTACTTACTAAATGCAAGCATGAAGATACAGTTGACTATTGTTTAGAGGTGAAGTCTCACATTGGTTAATTGAGGAGAATATCATGTTTTTATAAGTAATTGGGTAATACGAAACCTATGAGAACCTACATTAGTCAAAGAGGGGAACCAAACATTTTTTATAAGGGTGTGAAAACTTCTCCCTAACCAACGTGTTTTAAAATTGTGAGGCTAACGATAATTCGTAATGGGTTAAAGTGGACAATATCTGTTAGCGGTTGATTTGGGTTGTTACAAATGGTATCGGCTAGACATTGAGTAGTGTGCTAGTGAAGATGCTGGACCACGAGGGGTACATCTCCTTAACGGGCGCGTTTAAAAATTGTGAGACACATAAACCGACAATATTTAGAAGTAGTTTGATTTGAGATAGGAATGTTTTTTTTTTTGTTAAAATTAATTTGGTTAGATATTTTATATATTAAATTAAAATAGATTAAACCAAAATTAGATTGCCAGGAATGTGGAGATTATAAAATAAGGATGAGCGCATAACAGCAGATAATTTAATTTTGAAAAAAGAAAAGATAGACAATGCATTTTGTCAAAAACGTGTCACGTCAAGAGGGTTAAATCAAATCAAGTGGATATCATGTTTCACAAGATTTGATGATAAAGATATACCATATTAATTTCCTTCATTATTCATTTTCAACTTTATATTAAATACCTTACTATATATATATATATATTTTTTTTAAATAATGAAATTAAGATAAGATTTTTGGTTCGGTTCGGTTCGGTTCGGTTTTCCCTTTCCCAAACTTAATGACGGTCCCATCCTTTGTTTCTTATCCACTTTTGGGCCCATCTCAGCTCCCACGGCCCAATCTATGGATTTTTATTTTTAATTTTTAATTCTTACGGAGTATTTTATAAATTTAGTAGGACTAAGTTTGAAAATTAAAAAAAAATTTATTTTTATATAGAATTTGACTAATAATTCAAATATTTATTTAGAAAAGATGAAAATTAAATTTCTAAACAAAAAGAAAAAGAAAAAAAAAATTCTTTTAAACTAAAAGAAATTATGATTAAAAGAGAGAGAGAGAGAAAAAGGTAAAAGGAAGTAGTTTAGATAAAAAAGTCAAAAAGTAGTTTTAAAAAAAAAATATATATATATATATATATATACCATTACTGAAAATAATAAACTTTTTATTAAATTGCTAAAATGCTTTTCCAAACATATATATTTTTAAAAAAATTTAATAAACTGTAAGGGTCATAGCTTTTCCTGAGAATGGAATAAGCATAGAACTAGTGTTTTCATTACCTTTTCCTTTTTTTACCTACAAAGAATCAAACATGTTTGATCCTACCGTTTTCGAAATGAATTTCAATGAAGGATTCTACCAGCAACGTCGATCAATCGACTTCAATGTCAAGAACAGCCTCCAGTAAATCAAATCAGTCTTCATTTGGCATCGGGACAAGTCGTTTTATCTCGAAGTAACGTCCTCGACCAGCCGAAACATGTATTCAGCTCATGCTTGATGAAAAAGCCTTAGAGACAATCCTCAGCTGGGATCATATTAAGATCTGGTAGAAAGAAACCACCACTTTCCATTGAATTTGTCTCCTGTGTCTCCTGCAATCCAGGTACAGTTTGTATCGGCGAAGTTGCAGGAAGAATGTTGTCGGGTGTAGGATCCGCGTCTCGGCACCATTGATTGGAAGCTACTGGCTTCAACTCATCCCAAACACGATCTGATGATGCATCAGAATTCAGATTGAGCTGAAAAACATTTTAAGACAGTAATTTCATCATAACATTTCAGAAGAGGCAACAGCATCATCATAACATTTTAAGACAGTAATTTCATCTGTTTAAGAATCACCTTAATTTTCTTCAACTTCTGGTTGTTAGTTGTCTGTTCCTTGAACGTCGCATGTAGGCTATCCAGCTCCTGTTAAAACAACCAATCCACTTTCATTACACACACAAAAAACAACTCATGATGATCCCTCTTGGCGTTAGAACAGCAAACCCACCTTTTTAAGATCTAACCTTTCCTTCAAAAGTACAGACTCCTCCACTCTCAGATCAGCCAATGCCTGAAAAAGTTTAAGCTATATTTCAGAAAAATACTCCTAGTTTAGCATGCAACCAACAAATGTCATTACAAGGGTTTGAATGAAAGACTCGAACAAGAACAAATGACTTTACAAGAGTTTGAATCAAAGTGTGAGATCCCACATCGGTTGAAGAAGAGAACAAAGCATTCCTTATAATGGTGTGAAAACCTCTCTCTAGTAGAAGCGTTTTAAAAACATTGAGCGGAAACTCAAAAAGAAAAACCAAAAAATGACAGTATCTCCAGAGGGTTTGGGCTGTTATGGAAAAACTCATACAAGAGTTAGAATGAAAGACAAGAACAAATGAAGTTACAAGAGTTTGAATTTCAGTGTGAGATCCCACATTGGTTAGAGAGGGAAGCAAACGAAGCATTGTTTATAAGAATGTAAAAACTCTCTCCAGCGGGCGTGTTTTAAAAACGTTGAGAGAAAACTCAAAAGAGAAAGCCCAAATAGGACCACATGAGTGGCGGGCTTTGGCTATTTCAGAAAGACTCGAACAAATAACGTTACAAGAGTGCCCTCGAAAGACTCAGGTCCTATAGTCATTGTTAACATTGAACACACCATGGGAATTTTACCTTCCTTCTTTTAAACCTCTTGGCCATGGCAGTGCTACAGCTGAATTCATTTGAACCATAGCCCTGCACAAAAGAACAACCCATCAGATATCAGTTTCTTTATACAGAAACCACAGAGGGAGAGAACACAAAAGTCCACAATTATATTCAGAATATTATTTTAACAAAAGAGGATCTTTTATTATTATTGTTTCTTTTCAAATTTGACAAACCAGTAAGTAAAGGCCACATCATCAAACCCACATGGAGGATCATCAATCTAGCTAAACCCACAATTTCTTCTTCAGAATCTTACTCCCATCGCTCGCGTGACCCTTCGCGTGCCTCTTATTCAATTTAATGGGTTTTAAAAAAGAACTGCCAACAAGGAAGAAAAAGAAGATCATTGACCTTCAGATCTGAGAACCCAAAGGATCAAATAATGGCTAAAGAACCCATCTCTCTCGATGGTTCCATTCCAGGCCGTCTGGTTATGGGGGGTTGTTCATGGGACATACGCGCACAAACTTATCGCTCTGACGCCGTTCTCGGATCATCGATCCGATCCCCTTCCCCACAACTATCCTGTGCTTACCGGCTCCGTTCCGTCCTGAAACTTGGATTACCCTTGACTTAACGACGCTATTAAGAACGAAAAACAGAGGAAAAGGGAGTCATCGTCCAAAAGGGAGATGTGGGGGTTTTCTCGGTTGAAATGCGTCTATGAGAAAATACGAGGAATTCATCTCGTGAGGGTCAAAGAGTCGGCCACGAGGAGAGAAATACTCGTTTGTCGGCGGCGTTTCTGCGTCGGCTGAGAAATTCGTCAACTCCGGTGGAAAAGGAAACAGCCAAGGCGGAGATCGAAGGTTCTGTATCTAATCCAAAACCAGAGGAGGAAAAAATAACAGAAAATGAAGATTGAGTGGAAAAAAGAGCAGAATCGAGAAATAACCTTGGATCTGGAGGATTGGGAGAATTCGGATGGATGGCTGGACTCTTCAAATCCATCGGCGGTAGCGGAGGGGGAGGTTTCGCCACTCCAAGAGAGAGGAGTGGTGGGGCTGCATCTGGTGGAGGAGGAGTCCTTATTCTTGTGTGCAATGGCATCGCATCGAAGAGAAGGGGAAAGAATCCTGGAACGCCGTTGCCTGAGACCCCATCTGGGCGGAATAACGGCATGTAGCGGAGATTTGATCGAGGATGAGGCTTGAGACTGTTTGAGACGGACGAGCAACTCAACGACGACGCTATCATCGGCCATGGCGGCACTCAACCACTCATCTTTCAACGCCATCTTGACCGGCGGAGAAAAAACCGACGGCGAGAAATGGGTAACTCCGGGAAGCAAAAACCCAGAGAGAGAGAGAGAGAATTGAAGAAGGTGAAAATGGCGAAAGGAGAAATGGAAATGGAAATGGGAGGAGAAGTGGCGAAGAGATTCCAGTTATTCGTTTTCGTTTCGTGGGCTTTTTATTGGGCCCGCACCTCTTTCCCATATTCACTATTCTTTTTTCTTTTTAATTAATGATATCATATTACCGGGAACCACCGTTTTTCTTTTTTTTATTTATTTATTTTAAAAACATCGGGCCCACCTAACCTCCTGCCATCCCAAACATGGGCTTCATTTGGGCCGGGTCGGAACTTCTACACGAAGCCCAATAATATTTTTGGAATTTAAACCAATTAACCATTAAAATAGGTAAAATAGGTGAAATTTCCAAACATAAAATATCCACGTCAGCATACTTCTCTATGAGTAATCTTTTTCCCTAAGTTTTTCTTTTATTTCAATACTATATATTTTCACGGGGAATTTAATGCTAATAATAGACAACAAATGAATTTTAGATATTGAATAATTAATGGTGGAATTCATTATAATAAAAGCAGTGATAATAATATGGTAAATGGGCCATTAGGGGGGAATGGACTTGAAGTTGGGCTTGATGGAAGTCTTTATGGGCCGATGAGAGGAGGGACGACATGTCGGAAGGAGAAAGGAATGAAAAAAAAGGTGTGTCGGTTGGGAGAAGGCGGATGTGAATGAAAGAGAGAATAAAAGCACTCGTTTTTCAAAAAACATGTTCACTTTTTTCCAAACCATTTCTGCAAATTGGAATTTGAAATATTTTTTCAAAGTTCATTAAAAGCGTGTCACGCACGCATTCCACTTTTTTCCTCCTAATTATTTATATTTGGGTCCCTCAATTACATTTATATATACATAAATAAATAAATAAATAATTTTTAAAGGTGAACAAAACTATTATATTTTTTCTTATCTTTCTTAATCAAAATTAAGATAAATTGAAAATTGAATCAACTCTATTATAAATTTCTTAATATTCATAAAATATAACTCATTTTTTATTTTCTTTAATTTTTAAACCTAAAGTTACCATTTGTACTATGTACTATGCAGACATATTTATTTATTTAAAAAATAGAGGCCTATAAAGTCAGCTCCATGTTTTGTCGTTGCTAGCTGACTTCACTTTTTTTTTTTCTTTCTAATTTTTATTTTATGTCTTAGATAATAATATACCTAACATGATGGGATCTTGTTTTCCAATACATGGAAGTCTAATTTCTCCATCTATTCCTAATTTAATATATAGTTTAAATAAAAAGCATACCATTTCAAGAAAAACATATTTCCATTATTATGGAGTTGGTCACATTAATATCCTAACTTATACTCAAGATTTAGATTACAAAATAAACAATAAGATTCAATAAAAAAAAAATAATAATAATAATAAATCGAGCATAAAATAGCTGACTTGTAATAACTATTTCTCTCATGATCCAATGGTGGACAGTCGCTAATCATTAAAACTAGCTTCAATTTCATCAAGAGCTTTATTCCTATTCGTCCTACTCTATCTTAGTGTTTATTGTTTGATCAAGAATCTAAGGTTTTGATGTTTGCTTAGCCTTATGAATAGGGACGGGAGGAGAAAGTCATTTTAGGAATATGCGTTTTTCTCTCCCCTAATAAATTTATGTTCTTTTCTTTCATTTTCTTTCCATTTAATTCATAATTGAATAGTCTTTAACAAGCAATACCCTAATAGAATTTCTTAGGAATTAGGAATTAATGTGTTGCTTATTAATTACATCATTTTTTTTTTCTTCAACAGTTCATATAAAATTTTGTAGTCACTCACTAGCTCATTTAAGAAGCAACTGCAAATTGAAGTTATGAATTTTATTCATCAAATTTGTTCATCCCAATTAAGAAAGATTCAAAACGTCTGTTTTGACGTTTTGACTCAGCTTAAAAAAGATATTACTTAAGCAAATTTGGGATCTCTAAGAGTGTGAGCGATTAGAAATCACGACCTTTCACAATAGTAGGATATTGTTCATCTTGAACTAAGCTCTAGTAGTTTTGCTTTTTTTTTTACCAAAAAAAAAAAAAAAAAACCTTATATTAATGGGGATGTATTAGAAAGGAGGGTTGGTCATCTACCCACTACAAGATGATTGTCTCTCGCCCCTTCCTCACTGTAACTGTTCATGGCGTCTTGAGAGAGAGAGAAATGGGATTTTAAGAGCTCTTTCCCACATGATTGGTATGCAGCCCACAATCAGCTGTGTGACATTTTTTTTTTGCATTTTCTGCGCAGAAGAGAGAAGAAAGGTTGTTTAGAAAGAAGAACAAGTTCTTTCCATTTCCATTTCCAATCCCAAAAGAAGCCAGAATCACGACCTCTTTCTTGTTTTCACAGAACCAGACGACACCCATCTCTCTCTTTCTTCGTACCTTTCATGTAATCCGTGACAAAAATAAAGTTGCGTCAATGAAGCTTCTTCATCTCCTTCCTCTCGCCCTTCTTCTTCTTCCTTCCCTTCCTCTTCCATTCCTCTCTATTTTGGTGGCTGCCTCTCCGTTTCCTTCTCCCATTTCTCCATTCTTGGATTCCATGGCTGCTTCCCCTCCAGGTGGGTACTTAACAGATCTCTTCCTCTCCACTGCGCTGGTTTTCAAATTTCCTCTGTTTTGTGTTTCCAGGAATTCCGATGGAAATGGAGAGCCTTAGAAGCGAAGCCCACAAGAAAATGCCGATTGTCCTTATCGTTTGTGCTTCATTCGGTGCAGTCTTAGTGGTTTCACTGTTTTTGTGGGTTTATTACAGAAGAAACTCCCCCAACTTCCATAAACAAAACGTTCAGAGCTCAGGTAACTCACTTCTGCCGTTTTTATCCGATTAGAATCGATCATATCCTCCAATATAACATCGGGTGGGTTTCTTTTTTTGGATTTGAAGATGCCGAGAAGGGTCTGGTTGGGTTAGCTCCAATTTTGCGAAAATTCAGCTCAAACAAAATGGTGGGTCACAATAAAGTATCTGTTCCACTCATTGATTACGAGGTGCTGGAAAAAGCCACCAACGTTTTCCAGGAAAGTAACATTCTAGGGGAGGGTGGATTTGGAAGGGTTTACAAGGCTCGTTTAGAACAAAACCTTTTTGTTGCTGTGAAGAAACTAGAATGTAACGACAAGGACGCAGAGAAAGAATTTGAGGTTCTGTTTCTTTGATTCCTTATATTCTCTAGCAATCAACAAGAAAACTGAACTCCATACCTTGAAATTTGGCAGAATGAAGTTGATCTATTGAGCAAAATTCAGCACTCGAACATCATCCGCCTTCTGGGTTACACCATTCATGGAGAATCAAGGCTTATTGTGTACGAGCTGATGGAAAACGGATCATTGGAGACACTGTTACATGGTAAAACACAGAATCAAAGGCTCTCGTACCTTCCTTTTTTGGTTCATTAATTAATGGCTATATGATTATTTATGCCCTACTTGCTCAGAGTTGTCTGAAATGAAATGTTTAATGTTTTTAGGGCCTTCACATGGAGAGACATTAACATGGCACATGCGCATGAAGATTGCTCTTGATGCAGCTAGGTGAGCTTGTTTCTTGTTTTTACAAAACTCAAGATCTCTTCTTCTAGAAAATTATTCATCAAAGGCCTCTTAGCACAAAATCTGAATACAAATTGGAGATACTTTTACTTACGAAATTGGGAGTGGCTGATAATTTCTCATTGTTTTGGGCTTCCCTGCTTGTGAGTGTTTCTGACAATGTGAAAACTGTTGAGCAGAGGATTAGAATATCTGCATGAGCACTGCAAACCTGCTGTAATACATAGAGATCTGAAATCCTCCAATATTCTTTTAGATGCAAATTTCAATGCCAAGGTACAATAATTCATCATTCAAAGTTTGAAAAACTCCAATCCACTGCTTTTTATTTTCATTTATTACTTAAAAGAAGAACAAAATCGAAGAGAGGGACCTGAAATTCTTCTCCTTTTGTGTTGTGGGTTCAGCTTTCGGATTTTGGCCTGTCTGTAATTGTTGGAGCACAAAACAAGAACGATATAAAGCTTTCTGGGACGATGGGTTATGTTGCTCCAGAGTATCTTTTAGATGGTATGTCAAATTACAGTACATTTCTTCATGCCTTTCCCTTGATGCTCAAAATTCCATTAATTTAAGGTTTATTGTACAATTCGTTAAAAGTTAATGTGATTAACATGTTATATCACTGTAATTAGAGGAATAATTAATGTTATAAAACGTAATTTGGGGCTGATTAGTTTAGTAACTTTTAAGATAATTTTCACTCTGGTCTGTGAGATGATGTAGTTGATGGAACTTGTCTTTTCAGATACTAAAAGGGTCTTATCATGTTTCAATTTGCTTAAGCTTTTATCTCTAAACCCAAAACTCGTTGGTAATTGATATCAAGTGCTAGGTGGAGGCCACAGCTAGCTCAAAAAGAGTCTTTTTTTTTTTTTCCTTCTTTTCAGAAGAAAATTGATAAAGGGATATGATTATAATAGTGGGCCATCCCATCTGTCTTGGAATCTAGTCTCATTTTATAAGGGTCAGCAGCATGCAACCAAAAGCAATAGACAAGAAAAAAAGAGGAAAGAAAAAGAGCTAGTGGTTGAGCACTGTGAAGAAAAACCTGGTTCATGAAGATTTACCATCATCTCCCTCCCCTAGCTTGTTAACTATGATTTCGTTTTCAACTTGTTTGTAATTTGACTGTGGCAGTGTTGGCTGCTTCAGCTCCACATAGCCACCTACTTCCTGCACAAATTTGGTTTTTGTGGTAAAGAAAATGATTACTTCTACAGGTAAATTGACTGATAAGAGTGATGTTTACGCATTTGGTGTGGTGCTTTTGGAGCTTCTTTTAGGAAGAAGGCCTGTTGAAAAACTGGCACCATCTCAATGCCAATCCATAGTCACATGGGTAGAGCTCCTGCTTAACCAAATCACTAATGATATTCAACATGTTACTCAATCTTACAAACCCTTAATTGGTAATTTTATTTTCTTGCAGGCTATGCCTCAGCTCACTGATAGATCAAAGTTGCCTGAAATCATTGACCCGGTGATCAGAAACACAATGGACCAGAAACATTTATTTCAGGTTCGTAAATACTGTAATTGGACCTATGAGGGCTGGGGAGTAACTATTTTTTATGTAATTGGAGAGTTCATACCATATTATGGGTTGATGTAGGTTGCTGCTGTTGCTGTATTGTGCGTGCAACCCGAACCGAGCTACCGTCCCCTAATAACAGATGTTTTGCACTCTCTTATTCCTCTTGTTCCCGTTGAGCTTGGAGGGACTCTCAGATCATCAACACAAGCAGCAGCTCCTGTGGCTCCAGCTTAGCTATTACTTGGTAGGAAGAAGTGAGAAAGAGAAGCGTTTCATGATATGCTACAGCTCTGGTTTCAGGGTTCTTCAATGCTCAAATATATGATTCTTTCAATCATATTTGTTCTTATTTCTGCAAGTATGATTGCTGGGATGGATGATGATATGAACACCAATTGCTCTTGGTGCTTGGTTGAAATCCTTGTGAGGACTGGTGGAATGTCTTACTGCATATATTTTTTTTATCCTCCACAGAAACAATAAAAATGTATTGTATAATTTTGTGTACATGGTCACCGAGGCACACTCTAAAAAGTAATATAGTTAGTCGACTCTTGAAATGATAACTCTTGACAGGTTTAACTAGAACCGGATGATTTCTTGCTGCAAATTCTTACTGTTTATTACCAGAATTTGTACCTGTAAGATCTCATAAGATCTCATATTGGTTGGAGAGGGAAAGAAGCATTTTTGTGAAGATGTGGAAACCTCTCTCTAACATACAGGGAAAGTCCAAATAGGACAATATCTGCTAGCGATAGACTTGGACTGTTATGTAAATATTTTCTATAACCTATCAATAAAAAATATATCTTAATTTGAAGAACCTAATTAAATGAAAATCAAAAGAAAGGTCACAAGAAAAGGCATTTTTCCTTTCGTATCTTGCATCTATAGCATGTTAGTAGTATTTCCCTGGGACGATCACTCAATCAAACAAAGAACTTAGAATTATTGAGCTAACATAAATGGAAGAGGAAGAGTTTAATACCTCTACTTTCAATCATCATACTCTATCCCTATTTAGCTTGATGTTATCGACCAACATCCCAACACCTCCTGAACAAAAACTCTTCCACTTAGATTATCGTCACTTTACTTTTCATTTATCTCGGGTTTCTCGAGTGTTCAATGATCACAGTGCAAAATACTTAATCCAGATTCGGCTAATCTAACCACATTCCATGAGACAGAATCAATACATGAAAGTTAATGAACAATTATAAGAGATGGGAGATGCTTGGAATCTAGAGATAAGTGTGTATAATGGTCTAAAGATCAGAACTGCCACCGTTGATGAAAAATAACAACATGCAAATAACAAAATACCAATAGCTTAACTACTGGGAAATATTACAGATGGCTTCAAACTTGATCTTGAACGAAGTCTGACTTTCTCTGAGCCACTTAAGTACACAATTTAGATCAATGTCTCAGCTAAACTTAGATTCAGCTAAGAAGCCTTAATTATTTGATCGCTCATGAATACAAGACATGAAAACAAAACTTTGAAGCATATTTTCATCGTATTTCGTATCACATTCTATTTTACCGTACATTGTGGAATGAATCAATGATGGCATCTGCGAGATATTCACATTTAGCTAACGACAACCCAGCCAAAGATATCCGTCCATCCTTTGTCATGTATACGTGCCACTTGTCCGTCATATTATCACTCTGCTTGAACATAAAGATTGCACAGTCACAAGTCATGAGAATGCGAAGCAAAATTTGCGTTGTTGACAAAAAAATGAAAAAGAAATCAGATAAAGCAATAGACAATTAGAATCAGTTTTGATAGAACATGTCAAGAAGCGTAGCATTGTTTCCCAATTTCTGATTTTGGATCAAAAAGGAAACTGGAAAGTACCTTGTATCATTTTTTCCGAACAGTAGATAAACGTTGATTAATCTATAAGACTTACCTGAACTTTGCTTAAGCCTGTGAATGAGAACATGCCAATCTGCTCGAGTATAAAGGACCAATCTTTTCCACTTCTATCTTTTGCACTGAGACTATCATAGAGCTTCTGTCTAACATTCTTTATCCTTCCCGCCATCATTTCCATCTCTGCTTTCCACTCGTTAAATAGTGCTGGATCTCCAACAATATTAGCAACAATTCTAGCCCCATGAACAGGAGGATTTGAGTACATTGGTCGAGCAATCCTCTTCAGCTGGCTCTTGACCCTAAAATGTAAAGGTGCCCATTAAGAACTTCTAGGAATAAAACCAAATGCACCACTTCCCCAAGCTCCAGAATTCAACAAGAAAACTCAATACATTAATCATCATGAAAATAAGAGATGACTAATCAGAATGAACTGAACGAATAAAAAATAATTTGATTTAACCCTGAACATTACGCAAGCAATGCATCTCTTATTCAAGTTTTTTTCTGAACCTGCAGAAGAATGTTGAAGCGCCTATTTCATTTTCTTTTGTGTATTAGTACAATATTATATAAAAAAACAGATCTTATAATCATCTTCTAGTTAGGTTCTTATGCATTTCCAGAACAATTTGTGCAACAGAATGATAATTAACGTAAAAAATCATGGAAAGGACAGTGCATAAAATTTTGCTCGCTGCACCTTGTTGCTGCATCTGCTGATGAGCAGACAATGTTAATAGCCCCAATCCTTTCAGCATAAAGTCCAAGATTTTTACTATATGATTGAGCAACCAGAAGCTCCAAACCACGAGCAGCAAACAGCCTAACAGATGCTGCATCTGCATCAAGGCTTCCACTAGCAAATCCCTAGAACTCAGAGGAAAAAATTATTTAGAATGGGTTCTTTCAAACAATTCTTTTTGAAGTATTGAAATTATGGAGATCTAAACTTTTCAGGCATGCACCACCCCTCAAAATTTAAGAAGGCACGAAAAAAAAAGATCAAATTCACCAAAACATAACTGCATATTGATGCACCAAACTCCAAGTTGCAACCAAATACTAAGGTAGCCTTTTCTTTTCAAAGAGTCAATACCTGATATGCAACATCGAAAAATGGAATGTGGTTCTTCTCCTGAATGACATCAGCAATTTTTTCCCACTGCTCAGGTGTTGGGTCAATGCCAGTTGGGTTGTGAGCACAACCATGAAGCAGAACAAAAGATCCTTCAGGTGCTGCCTGGAAGATGATAGTGGAAAGACAATGTAGAGAGCTAGAAAATCATCAATAAAATAAGCAGGAAAACTTAGGAATAAATTAAGAATTAGCATGTCAAGACATATGTCACAAGGATAAAATTATACGGCCAGGCAATTACCTTAATATCAGACATCATTCCCTCAAAATCCAAACCAACTGTTTTAGGGTCGTAATATCGATATTCAGACCATGGAACTCTTGCATCATTGAAAATATTTTTATGATTCCCTGAAATGAATATTTCCTGGCAATGAAAAATTAGTCTGCCAAGGACCAAGCCAAATAAGTAGTAAAGTGAACATAATCAATACAAACCCCAAGTTGGAGAAGATATTAGGACTTTTGCACCAGGAAAGTATCGTTCTATAAGAGTTGCAGCTACTCTAAGAGAACCAGTCCCTGACAGACCTTGGATAGTCGCAACCTAGGAAAATATGGAAGAAATAAAACCAAACGGGATCATACTTCACAGCACTAATATCTCATCGATTCTTTTTTAAAACAAGAATCCATTGTTATGAAAGAAACTGTATTTTCAAGCTGAAGTTTGACATACACGTTGTTGCTTGATAACTGGGTTATCAGCTCCAAATAACAATTCTGCAGTCGCCTTATTAAATGCTGCTAGACCTTCAATTGGGAGATACTACACATTGAAAATAGGTTAGTTACAGCATGCTTGAGTCAGATAAGAATTTCAAAGAACATTCAGTTGCAGAACAATCAATGTACCTCTTTGTTATCTCCCCTCTCCAGCATATGTTTCTCAACCTGTTTAATCAAAGAAGCCAAATTCAATAAAATAGAAGGTTCTGCCAACCCGATTACAGAATCGGATAGGGATAGATGTTAACCTTCTTCACAACATCAAGAACATAAGGTTGCAGCTCTTCAGTGCGGTATGCACCAACTCCCAAGTTGAGTTTGTTTCCGTGGGTATCTGCTTTGAAAGCCTCAGAAACTCCAAGAATTGGATCAGGAGGTGCCATCGTTATCCCCTCAAACCGAGAGACATTAACTGAAGCAACCATAGATATCCTGCTCAAGGACTGAAAATCAAAAAAAAGTACTGCATCAATCTGCCTTTCACTTCCCAGCACCCAACTCCAGTATACACCTCGCTAACTCCAACAACCAGGGTAAGCAATAAAATATAGAGATAAGGCCAACTAACACCTCATTATATGCCCATGAATCATAACAGCGGTTGCACAGATATCCTTCAGAGGTAAGACAGAATGCAAAAAAGACATATAAACACTCGATCTAATGAACGAATAACATATCAAGATAGAACACATATAAACATAAAATAAAGAGATGTTAACTAATCAATATTGATATAGAAAGAGAAAGAAGAGCGAAGCATACCTTCGTATTCGCGAATGGATTGTTTTTGTCCCGATCAAAGCTTAGACAGTTACTTCCAAGGTTCAACTTCCCCTGCTAAAGGAGCGGAACGCGTAATTGTTCCTCATTAGTTATAAACTACTACATTCATTCAAGTATCAAAAAGTGAAAAAAAAAAAAAAAAAAAAAAAAAAAAAAAAAAAAAAAAAAAAAAAAAAAAAAAAAAAAAA